TTTCCCAGTTTGGCACTCTAAGCACAGAATCTATTCATCTGGTGTCTGCTTTGCTTGTGAAAAAGAGATTTTTTTAATCTTTGGAAAACAAGAGAATAAAAATACTTAGGTAGATTGGCAAAAGTAAGGCCTCCCATGAAATCCATTGAAATTAGGGGAAATATTTCTACCGACTTCCCTGGGGTTTGGATTAGCTCTTTAATGCTTCTGTAATTATTTTTTAACACAGTCATTCTTGGAAAATTATTGCTGTGATTCACTAGTTCTTCGCTTGACACATGGAGTTAATGATTGACATTGTGCTACTGCGCTCGGTACTAAGGCTGAAATGGTATGGTTTCTCTGGTATGTATAGAGAGAAATAATAACTACTGCAAGTTATGTCTCAGCATAATCTTTGCTGTCATGTGTCATGCCTCGCCTACCATCAATCCGTATTAAAAAAAACAGTGGTCCAACCAGCGTTTACAAAATTAGCTCAGGTCAGCTTTTCACTTACCAGTAGTGATTTACAAAGTAGCTGAAAATAGTTGGTGCTCATATTTCTCGCTTCAACATATCTTGTTGTGAAAACAACCAAATGTGGGATCAGTTCAAGTTTCCCAGCTTTATGCTTTAGAAGTTTGGGTTCCCTGGGGTGTTAAACCAGGATCACAAGACTTTCTGACCAACATCACTTTTTTGGTACTGGTTCCAACTGTACTGCTATGAGTTCTAGCTGTAACTACGCTTTTTCATCCCTGCATCTTAATGTTTTCAAGCTTTGTGTCTGAAGTGAGTACACTTTAGGACATGTCAAAACAAGTACTGGGGATTTGTTGACATTTTATCTCCAGCTTTCCCATATTTTTGGATCTGATACCTGGCTACTTCACACCTGAGCACATGTATCCATCGTGTTTTCTTTTAACCATCCCCACTGTTGCACAACTGTGCCATCCCGCCTCCTCTTGCATCACCACAATGCCACAACAGAGTCGGTTTGGAGAGACAAAAGACTTCAGAGAGATGGGAGCCCTATCTGTATCAGATAGATGAGTGCAGTCTGTGCAGCATTCAGATTGTAGACAGATAGTCAAGGCCAGGCTTTCAGAGATGCTGATCTTACTTGCATATTTGCAACAGAGGTGTGGCAGATTTACTGATAACCACTAACCTATGGTAAGTGCTTGTTTTGTTTGGATCACCTTAATTGTTCTGCACACTTTTTGGTGTTTTGCTTATATTCTCATTAATCTGTTGTCCACCTCCATCCTACAACTCTCAAGTCCAATCATCTTGACCTTTTCTTTCCCAAAGGACTATGTCAAAGGGAGTGTCCGATGATCCCCACCTATGGTAGAGCTACAATTAACTGCTACATTCAGGATGCTCAAGAGTTATTTTGCACCAGCAGATTTTCAGCCATGTGTTAAATTAGGTCATAATTTCTCTACAGCAGTTGTGCCTCCAGAATGGGAGACCACTTCTAGAAATGAGAAGAGGTGCATTTACACACGCATCACTTGTGAGTGACTTTGGATTGTTTCTTTAGGAGAGGAAACCCACTATTTTCCCACAGCTAAGTCACACAGCCTGTTTCATAGCGGAATTATTTTTCAAGAGTATTCTTCCTTTTCATATTTTACAACCTTTTATTGCACATCCAGAGCTTTGGCTTCCTCTCCAAGCAGCTGCCTTGCCAAGGCATTTGAATTGTGACAGTTTCTGAGCTGGAGTTTCCAATGTTTGAAATTAGGAACCGGGCTAAAACCATTCAGCAAAAGCCTTTGGGTAGTAGTGATTTGTAAGAACTATGAACCTGGGACAAACATGAGTTCAGATTCTTTGGGCAGAAGGGCTATTAAGCATACCCAGCAAATATTCATATTGCTTGATGACTTTTAAGGAAGCGTTTAGCACATAATGGCTGACAAACAGCTGAGATTAAGTTCTTCAAGAATGACCAAAAGGTTCTCGTTATGGTACGTTTCCTCAATAGGGGTCGTGGATTTTATAGATCTAATACAGTAACTACAGTCACAGGCAAAGAGCTGTAGCAATTTGCTTGACTTTTTCAGTGAACACTTAAAATACCACTCCCCCCTCCCTTTTTTTTTTTTTTTTTTTTTTTTTTTTTTTTTTTTTTTTTGTTAAACACTCCTCCCTGTTTAAACTTCTCAGGTAATTAATTGGAAACAACCCAGTTGCAGTATTGTCAAAGGTCTGAATAACACCCGTCAAACCCAGGAAACTCAGAGTTCTTGAGCGCTCCCCTGCTTACCTCGTGCTGTTGTGCTTAAGGTATTACTGGGGTCTACAAAAAGTGCACGATCATATATACTGTACCATATGTTCACAAACACCAACGCACAGCAGCATGAATTAAGGATAGGATTTCAACCTTCATAATGAAGAGTCTTGCTTTTATGAGTTGAAGTCAGACCCTTAACATTATTTTAACATAGATTTTGGTGTTTAATTATGTAATAAGATTTACTGCAGTCATCTAACAGATGTTGATTCAGGGTCAGTGTTTCTCATAAATTAGTTCTGAAAGGATTTGTTACTTCTGGGTCAGCAGATAGGTCCAGAGTGCAAAGAAAAAGAGGAAAAACAATAAACACTGAGTGGAAGGGTTTCTTGGGATTCTTTCTTCAGTTACATATCCACATATTTTCATGATCTTAATGACTATAGCCACAGGAATGTTTGCTTTAACACTAAAGATGGCTCAGCCCAGAACCCTATATCCAAACATCTGCAAAGCATGGGAAAGTTCAAACTTCGGGGCTCTTTATTTAATGACCCTGGCTGTTAATTTTTCATACTAATATGACACATTTTTTTCTGGGACTCTGCAGTGGGAATCACTGAACTCTAGCAGCGCCCAAAAAAGTTTCATCTTCACGTGTTTGTTGTCAGAGTTTGTGTATGAAGCGCATCTACAGACTGGTGTTGGCTGATGTAGTTGTCATCACATACATACACTGAAAAGGTACACCCACCCTCCTTTGCAAATTCAGCTTTCCAGTGTGCAAATCACATTGGCACATCCTACTGCTAGACCTCTATAATACACCCTGCTGGTGATGTTATCCCTAATATAACTAAAACCACACAACATTATATTCATTCTTCTATAGTTGTGGTTAAAGGAGCTATTCCATATTAAAATATTTTTTCCTCCCCTCTATAATTTAGGTGCAGACAAATTCCTTTGAGACTGAAATCATACTCTTCATATCTTACTCTGCTGAGAATACTTTGGAGGAAAGAGTTTGAGGCACATTTAATAGTTATTAGTAAATTTAATAATTTAGCAGGGCAGTTTTAGCCTACCAAATGTTTTACAAATGCTGATGAATATTCACAATATTCCCCCTCCACTTCAGAGTATGACAGACAGTGATCTTCCTGAGGCTGTACAAGATGTTATAGCTAGAAGTGCAGCAATAACTTTGTTTATTCAGTGTGTGCAAAGACTGCTCAACCTATAAAACTATTTGCTGAACTTAATAGTCTTCATCTTGGAAAGTATAGGGATTTCTACCTAAGAAACTTCTCTAAGATGAATCCCAGCTATTCGTAAGAGCTCTGAAGTACTTCCCTGAACAGCAATCACACAGTGGCAAACTGCAAGCCCTGGACTCCTTGCAAAAGTAACGTGCAAGAGGAGGAAGAGCCCGTGGCCAGCTGCTGAATCTTGGCCAGCAAAGCAGCGCTTGACCTGCTCCGTGTAAGCGCTTGGACACAGCCCGGTTCCTGGATGCTCCCCACACGCCATCCCTGCCACAGGGCAGGCCCTCGCCAGTGCTGATATACATTTCTACAGTGCAGAGCTGTAAATTTAAATAGCACTTCCCAGGCGCAGGCTTGAAACTCCCGTTTTTCAGGAGTAATTCCATTTAAGTCAATGGATTTACACAATGGATTTACTGCTGCCAGAAGAGAATCAGGCCTGTAGAAAGACACACATTCTTTGCCAAGAAAATCTCAAAGCTAACTACTTGAATTGTGCAGTCGAGCTGCAGGGAGGTCAAGTGGACAGACGACAGGACTGGGACATACGGGAAGTCCCTGGTTCAAACCTCAGCTCTTAAAATGTTGTGCAGCTTGACCTCTGCTGAGTTAGTTCATCCCCTCATACCTCTGTTTCCCCATTTTCTTTTGTCCAACTTGTCTATTTAATTTGGAATTTGTTCCAAGAAGGGTGCCTCACTTTATATGTTGGAATGGGGCACTGACACCTCGCGTCCCACTTGTTGGACAGTTTTGAAGTCCTTGTTTCCTTGCCACGCTGACCCTCAGCTTCAATACACACAAGCAGTGTTACACGCGACCATCAGCTGCCCATCAGAAGACAGGCAGACCTGTCACTCGGGATAACACACCATCCTAACACTGGTGAGAACACTGGGAGGACTCCAGCCCTTCTTGTTATTTCATGGTCAGGGTTGGGAAGTGGAAGAAGGTCCTCACTTCGAACATTTGCTTCACAGCCCTGATCGCTAAAGATGCTTTAAAATGAAAGCTTTGACCCTTTGCAGCGGGGCTGTGAGCTTGTGATGAATTCAGCTGGCACCAAATGTGGGTCACTGGCATGAAAAGCCTCAAGGACTGGAATTTGTGTATATATGTGTGCGGGTATGCATGTGTGCCTGCAGTTTTCAGAAGCAGAGAGAGGCCAAGAACCAGCACTCCTGAAAAGCCCCATCTGTTTCTTTCAGCGCCTTCCCACAGCAGCTTGGCCATTACCGGTGGCAAATGTCCAGAGTCACTTGTCAAGCATGAAGCTGCCAAAAATCATTAAAACACAACGGTCACCCACACCCTGTACCAGCCAGCTGTAAAACTATTTCAGAGAGAGTCCGATAAACACATATATGCTTATAATAGCCCAGATAGTCATGTATTTCCTACATGCTTTAATGAACCAAACAACAGCATGAGATGCTGCAATCAGATATTCTTGCCCTTTTCTGTTGTGGCAACTCACAAGCTTGTTTGATGGCGAGGGGAAAGGGAACAAAGCAGGTGGCTAATGGGCTGTTTTTCTGTTTCAGTGGAGCATGACAGAGAGTTTCACCATCAGCGCTGCCACTACCGAGAGTTCAGGTTTGATCTCTCCAGAATTCCAGAGGGGGAAGCGGTGACGGCTGCCGAGTTCAGGATATATAAGGATTACATCCGTGAACGCTTTGATAATGAAACGTTCCAGATTAGTGTTTACCAAGTACTCCAGGAGCACCCGGGAAGGTGAGTGACCCACAGGGAAAGCCCAATGAAAGCACAAGCACAGTGTGTTCCTTCAGAGAGTTATGTCCGATACTGTTCGGAACACTGGTGCCAGCAAAAGTGTCTGAAGAGCTGGGTTTAGGCATCAGGGCTGTGCAGTGAAATCTCAGTCAGTGCTATTGCAGTGGGCACGTAGGTGCCATGTGTGGTCAGCCACTGAGGACATGAGGGGAAGGTGCCCTGTGAGCCTCCACTCGCCCCAAGGAGCATCCCAAGCGCTGTCGCTCTGGCCCCTGGGAGCACACAGTAGCTGAGGACCCAACAAGCCTGGCCGTGTGCTAGTGCAAGAGAAGATCATAAAGTCAGAGTATTTCAAGATTTCTGGAAGACCTAGCCTCTTCCTCCTGCCGCTTATGGATCCTGAGGTGGCAAAACCACATCTGAATGCTTCCTTTCTAATTGTAGCTTAATTACTAGCCTCTACTACCGAAACCGTTTGAGATCCCTAATTAACAAAGACAGATTACACCATGCTTTTTATATTGACTGATTGTTTTGCATGTGCAAAACTACAAGATGAGCTATTAAATCCTTTCCAAGCAATTATTAATGTATGCCAAACTCCTTGACAAATCCTCCAGGGAACTTGAATAAGAACATATGTTTAGTTTTCTCATCTGTTTTTAGTTCCAATTAATCAGCAATCCCAAACCATTTATCAAAGGCACTTAGTTTCATTTGCACGTATTTCTTTTACATACAAATTCTACCAAAAGTGAGATTGCATTTATTTACATGGAAAGTATTTACAGTCACATGCTAGTCAGAAGTTATTCTTTAGGACTAGTCAATGTGGGGTAGTAATGCTACAGCCCTAATTTAGGTTTATGAAAAGAGAAACACTAGGGATTTAAAAAGGGGAAAGTCCAAAAGGGTAAGAAAAAAACAGCGTAATCAGGACTCTGGCTTTATATTTTTATAAGAACTAATAAAAATGCAGGAAAAAAATTGAAATACGACAGAAAACCTTATCAACATTTTTAAATGGTGAGAATTTCAACCAGCTTTGCTGTATGGTAAAAGTATTTCACTACCGGTGTGTTTTCTTCCACGTCTGAAATTCCAATTTTATGGCTTAAAATCCATGGTTCTTTTGGCATTTCTAATGACACAATTATTTACAGGGTTTGGGGACTATGCTAATGTTAATCTATTTTTATCAAACAATCATAATTCAAACGACACATTTTAACCAGGCAGATTACAGAAGGCAACAAGCCACAAACATGCACAGGACCCATTAGATGTCTTGCTTACCATAAGCATTTAAGTTTATTCCAGAGATGGAAGTCTTCCTTTGCTGTACTTCTTGAGTAGGTTATTTGGGTACAAGCTTGCAGGGATGACTTTTCACTCTTGGGAAGAGCAGAAACGAGAAATGTGTTGGCAGATGAAGAGGCCCTAACCAGTGTGTCAGGGCATTAGGGAATTGCCAGAAACCTGTTCTTGGACTGAATGTCCTTCCTCATCAGATGCCAGGGAAGTTCTCCTGCAGATCCTGATGAGTGAGGTAGATGCCCACTAAGAATCTTACTGACAGTGAGGGATGACATTTATTACCTTAATTTTACGATTATACACCCACAGGTTTGTTAAAACTATGTTTAGAGAGGGCTGCAAGGTACATACTGGGGATAGTTATGTGTCAAGCAGCAAGTCTGTGATCTGTCTCCTTCATAAATTCTCATTCCTAAAGGAAAAAATGTATGCAAAGGTCAGGCATATACATGAACCACTGGCTGGAAGAGGTGAGAAATCTTGCTAATTATACAGATGTTCCAGCTACAAGATTAAATGCAATTTTACTGCATCATACTCACCACAGGAACACTATTTTTAATGAGTGTTTGTGCATATTCACCCTTTGCATACATTTTGGCACAGGCAGTGGTGAGTTTTGAACAGCTTGTCCTGAAAAAATATTCCTGTTGGTTTGGATTGACCAAAGGTAGAAATATTGTCACTAGCATTTGTAAAAATATTTGCTCTTTTTCTGCATTTTTCCACTGACATTTTCCAACCAGCTCTGTCACAGACCAGTCATCCAAGTCAGTGTGTCATTGGGCAAGTGGAGAAAGAAAACAAACTCTCTCCAATGTTGATCAAAAAACACCCATTCACTTTGATGCTTCCTTGGCTGTTTGTCTCACCCTGAGCAGGCTGGAAAGTCAGACCCATCTGACGTTGTTAGCAACAAGAGCAAAACAAAGCCAAACCCTCCCCCCCACGCAGGAAAGAAAACCTTTGCTCACATTTGGCTTTGTAGATTCCTCTCCCTACAGCATGGCAGGTACAATGGCCAACAGAAAACCAAATGGTTTTCCCTCTCTCTGCGCTCTTACAAGAGAGCAGTGGGATCTCCCAGGAGATTGCTGGACTTGCCTTTTGGGATCAGAAACACCAGGTATTGTCCAGGCCTGTGCCCCCGCTGCTACGTGCAGCTCCTGTTTAAGTGCACCAAGGCACAGAAGCTCAGTGCCAGGCTCCCCAGAGGCAGCTGCAGCATCGTCTCTCCTTTGTAACACAGCAACACACAGCAGAGATCAGGACAGCTTCTAGGGCCACAAAACCAGCAGGGGATGCAGCTGGAAAGCCCAAGCAGAGGCTGACCGGAGATTTTTTTCCTTTGAGAGTGAAGACACCATCGGATATGCTGAAGGCTTGATTTTCAGCTGAACCTCAGATGAGCCTCCAGTTTGGAGGGTGTGATGGTGTGCCCTCAGTTCAAATAAACCATAAGTACGAGCAGTTCAACAATTAATGACTTGCTTTACAAGTTCAGGCAGGTTGGCAGGTATCTCACCAGCAACATCTCTTGTCTGCAGTTTATTCTTAGTGACAAATACAGGCATAGGTCTTTCCAGACAAACAGCTGCACCCACAGCAGACTGTTTCTGAAATCCTGCCCTTCAATAGTACCAACATTTGAACACAGGGTGGAAGCTCTCCTCCATCTGCCTGTTCAGTCATGGGCAGATAGACAGCTAACAACCCTGACAGTAAAAATGAGAGCCCAGCCCTGTCCTTTGTAGCAGGCAGGATGCCGCTCTGGACTCTGACTTATAAAATTATATCTCTGTCAGACTGAAAGTATTATTACAGGAAATATAGGAAATGTTATATGTTTATAGGAAATCAGATGAAATGGTCAAATATTCTTTCTGGCCTTTCCAATTCTATGAATTCATTGCAAGGCAAGCTTTTCAAACTGGTAACATCGCCTTTCTAAAAGGCATGTACAGCATTCTTTAGGCACAAAGCATCAGTTATTCACTTTAAGGAAACAAGTACATTCATGAACAAAAATGTTCCTAATATCATAAACACTGTGAAAACAGTTGATGCTTTGACTAATATAACATGTCTCAAAGCTTTTGTGTGCATAACTTAAAGTCCAGTGACTCATGTCCAACTTCTGTTTGGTCTTCGTGGTTCACTCACCCAAAAGCCTGGGAAAAAGTTTCATAAAGCCAGCGACTGGCTTGAGAAGGGTGATGAGCAGGAGGACATCACGTCCCTGTTTGTGGTCTCAAACTCTGCGAGTGAAAACTAAAGGTTGTCAGCAGGGAACCAGGTGCTGCTCAAGCCTCCATCTCCTCCCTCCTGGGTGCTGTGGGAAAGCAAAGCAGATTCCAGTGCTAGGGAACACACACCACAGGACACAAGGCTTGCCACAAGGCGTTGAAGGTCATTTATCTCAGGTGCCTAAGCAGGGAACACATCTAAATAAAGCTTATGGATACGAGCCTGAGAAAAATGGACTTAGATACTTTTACAGTGGAATCATGAAATAGTTTGTGAACTACTTTGCAAAAGAAATAACCATTACCCTCAGACTCTCCACTGTTGTAAGCAATGGCCAAAGCAAGAACTTCCAAGGGACTTAAGTGCGAAGAGACATGCAGGTATGTAGTGGGATTTCTAACAGCAGCTAAGCAGGCTGGACACCTCACTCCTATTGCAACTGATAGGAACTTGGGTATTTTCAGAAAGTACCCATGCAGTTCTGGGGCACATTATCAGTTGGGGCATCATCCACAATTTATTAACCTGAAGCTTCAGAAAAAATGCAGACTGTATAGCTTCCTTCAGTAGCAGAGCTTGATCCTGCCCATCTGTCTGCACCTCCAGAAGCTAAAATACCTCGTCCCAGAGTTACATCTCCGATTTCATTGGACCCAGCACTTGCACTGTGGAGTGAATCCCAACCCCTTTGAAGTCGATGGGAGTTTTGTTACTGGAGAAAATAAAGCCAGGTACTTGACCAGCCTTTGATAATTGAAATGTAGTTGCTACATGTTCACTTTGTGGCCATTATGGATTTCACAGGCTTCAAAGGCACTGAATGATTTGAACGCTCATGTTACCAGCCCTACAGAAAAATAAGATCTTGCATGATGCATTCCTGGGTTTGACTTGCAGCTGGAACACTTTAGTTTGTGCTTCAAACTGTACCACTTCTGCACCCAGATCAAACCTGACCCCCTTTCCAGACCCCTTTCTCCTGTTCATTGGAGTCTGTTTCCATGTTGTGGGTTGAAACATGTAATTCTAGTAACTAAGAAAGGCTTAGGGCCACCCAACCCTTGAAGCAGATGTGCCTTCTTTTTGGAGCTTTTTTAACTACCAGTGTGATCATTCTAGGGATGGTGCACCAAAGAAGGGTTTGGTTTAATGTTGTGCCCCAGCACCATGGCAGCATCTGCAAGTACAAACAGCATCTAGAAAGGCACTGACTAGCTTTGATAATTATTTTTTTTTTTGTGACTTACCTGCAAGTCAGTTGATAACTGTACTCATTTTAGCAAGTAGTAGGGGAAATTTAGCATGGAAACCCTGTAGCTCTCCAAGAACAGAGCTGCATCTAGTTATCTCCTTCAGACCATTCCTAAAAGCCACTGCAGCCTGCAAAACCTCTGACAAATCTTGCACTCACTTAACAAGGCACAACTCTTCACAGG